GCCGGCACCGTCAGCGAAGAAGATGCAGGAAAATCATGAACCGGTGCTGCACCTATCCTGCACTTTTCGAAACGAATGGCAGGGTTCAGCGGTCGTCATTGCTGCACCGCTGAAACGAATGGCAAGGTGCAGCACCTCGTGAACTGGTTCACGTGGTGCAGGCGAATCGAACGGACCTATGGTCTCTTCGTTTTGGCTGCACCGGCTGAACCAGTTCAAAGGGTGCAGCACCTTCGTCCTCGTTTTGCCGGAGCAGCGCGCGCCCTCTGTCGCACCCTCTGCACTGGCTCCCTCGTTTTGTCTAGGTGTAAGCCTAGTTCCTGACGAGTTCTGTACCGGCGTGCACGCACTCCAAAGCAGGTGCAGAGTAGTGCAGCATGGCGGGCGTCCCCCCAAGGCCAGAGCAGACGACGTTGCAAATAGTTGTTCAGGGCGTTCAAAAGGAAGTTAAGGCACTTCACAATCCCGACGGGTCATTTATGACGGACGCCAACGGTTACGTCTATGAGGCATCAGGTAAGTCAGGCTGCATGCATTGCCAAAAAACGTGGTTAGCGGCCAGGAGTCGTAGTCGGTCAGCAAACAGCCTCGTAGCATTGCTTATGCTATGTCGGTATTTTTAATCTTGGTTTTCGCCCTTGCAGACGGCAAGCGCGTTACGTTGCGGTTCATGGCAGGGAATCGTGAAAATGACCCCCCTCCGGCACAACCGCCGACGCCTTCTCCTGCCTGCGACGGCGACGTTGACAGCGATGGGGCTTTAGCCGCATTTCCAGCAGCAGCCGCGTCGGCTGAAGATGTGGAAGAGCTTTGGAGCGCCCGAAAAACAAGGTTCTTCATCGCCAAATACTCGGAAATGAAGGACTTGGTGGGAAAAAACCAGGGCACTTCGGTATGTCATCCTATGTCCAAAATTATTTGCAGCTTTTTATTATTCCGTTTCACTCTAGGCAAGCACCAACAAGATAAGGGCGCATGAAGTTCACAATGGCGATGGTTATTGTTGCCTACATTTTACTGCCAGCAATTTACATTTTACTGCCCCCCCCCACTGAAAAAAAATTTTGGCTATGCGCCTGACTGTGACATATACGTTTACATATACACACAAACAGTATGTATAGTCACGCACATATATACACAACGAAGGCATTCGTAATGTTTCATTAAGTCAAGTGATCTTCAAAAACAGCGACGGTGCTTTTGTGTTGGGCATTGCACAACCGCTGTCTTGCCGAAAAGGTGCAGCACCTCCAAGCTCAAGCCATGTTGCAAGTGTAGTGCTGCCTTGAGAATTTGCACTAGAGGGAATTGCATGTTGTTATTCTGAGGCACATCTCTAGCAAGTCTCGCCCTGCAGTCCTTGTGTCTTCACTGTCTGTCCGCATTTCTCTCGCACTGCCACTTTTCAAGATGGTGCAGCTCATTGTTAAAAGAGATATGCTTCTTGACACGTGCTACCCTATCTTTGAACCTAGACTGCGCCGTCGTGTCAGCAAACAAGGTTGCGCAGCTGCATGTTTTACAATGCAAAGACAGGTTAGAATATGGCTGTCTCCTTAGTGAAGCTTTATGATCCAAAAGAGTGATTTACACAATGTTCAACTTCTCCAACATAATGCTTCCCGCACAAAAAGAACGTTCGCAGTTATCAGAAGTGTGTGAATAGTGAATTTCGGAACCTAATCAAGTAAGAGTCAAATAGTAATGGCACCAAATAGAATACAAATAGTAATTGAATACTGTTTGAATAGTAAGTAGACCATTTTCAAAACAGCCTTAGAACAGAACATTTTATTTGAAACAAATAGTCACAAACTTTCGACAAAGGCCATTACAGTCAGTTTGAATCTACTCAAAATACCACAATTACGAAAACTAAGGTAATCTCGTATGCAGCAGGAACTAGAATATTCGTAACATTTTGTAATTGTAGGTTCAACTACGGCATTGACTAGCGTTATCAACGTGAGACTTTGTCACCTCACTTTAAATAAAATTGGGACACAAAAACAAAACAATTTACAACCAAACATTGCAGATACAACTAAATATGTAACGGAGCAGATCAACCCGTCATCACAACATGGCCTGCGCACTAAAAGCGGATAACAATGGGCGTTGAAATTTACATCTGCAAGAACAATTTACGCAAACGCAAAACTTGTATCTGTTGCTAGTCGTGAAGCTGCAAGCACTCGTAGTTCCCACCTTTGGTTATTACAAGACGAAGACAGGAGCTGATAAATGCGATACAGCTAAAGTGCAGTAAAAATTGAGCAAGAATGGAGCTTTCAGAAGCGCATTCATTCGACAATCAATATAGTGTAGGTAGTCTTGCAAAAGCTTGGGCTGCGTACAGGTCACATTAGGGATTGAAAGAATGACTTGTAGCTGTTTCGTTGTTTTGGGGTTCTCCCGCCAGTGCCGATTATTAAAAGAATATTTGTTACTTAGAATATGTGCAATTCGATTCGACTTAGGAACCGAATACAGTGCTGTTTGATTCATTATCCAAAATTTTCGAATAATCGAACATCCCTAGCAATTATCCCTGAAAGCTACACATATGAAGTACTAAGGAAAGGTTCATGTGCTACTGCAAGACTTGGGTCACGTTACGTCGCTTCCTTCTTTCCTACTAACTGTGCTTTGCTTTTTTGTTTAGCACAAGAAGGCTTCTGTGGAAGAAGTTGGCTGAGGCCATCAATACGGAGTTCTTGTGCAACGTGACTGCCACACAAGTGGAAACAAATGGAAGTCGCTGGACAGAGCATATAAAAAGTCAAAAAAAGACAACAATTCTTCAGGTCACCACCGTGTGAACTGTGAATATGAAGAGTAAGTTACGATTGTGTCTTCATATCTTCAGTGATTCTCATAGTGTCTATTACAGAGAGCTGGCAGAAGTCTTGGAAAAAGAACATAGTGTAAATCCAAGGCTGCTCTTGGAGCCTGGAAAAACAATCCTGCCTAGTGCAAGTCCAGAGTAAGTAAAAATTACTTAATTTGTGCTGTAGCCTGGAAATGACATGGCACCTGTACAATTACTTTCAACAGCACCAGCATCACTGAAGCACCTCAAGATGCAGCAGTCCCAGTCGAGTGCAACACAGCATCCAAAGTTCGGAGCAGCACAACGCCAAAAAGGAAGCGCCAGAGTAGGTCCCAAGTCACGCCGCTCTTGGAGGCATTAGAAAAAATGCAAGCTTCGAGAGCTAAGCAAGAGGAGGCAGCAGTGAAACAACTGGAGGAAAGAAAAAAATGGGAAGAGGCAAAGGCAAAGCGGCATGATGAGCGCATGCAGCGATTCGATCGGTTGATCGACGTACTCTCAAATAAGGACGGGTTATAATATGGGCAATAAACTTTTATAACACTAGCAGTGTCTACTCCATCTAATTTGTTAAAAAAAACATTGCTTCTAGACGCGGCACCCCACTTCGCAAAACATTTGCACACTGAATAAATCGCGAAGCAAAGATGAACTTCTAGCACTGTTCCTTTGCAATGAACTCTCGCAGAGACTGACTGTAGCCTGGCAGACTGCAATCAAAATCTCCTTCACTTTCATCATTGCCCACATCTTCTTCTTGGGGAAGCGTTGCAAGTTCCTCAAGGAAGTCCCTTTCATCGTTGCACATGTTGTGTAGCACACACGCAGCCATAACTATATAGCAGCACTGTTGCACACTTTTTGCATCAACAAGGTAGAGCCTCCTAAAACGCTGTTTAAGCAGGCCGAAGGTGTTCTCAATAAGCACTCGTTGTTGACTGTGTCGTTTATTGAAGCTCTTTTTCCACGTAGGAAAAGAACTTCCATTGTCCTTGAATGGGGTCATGAGCCATGGCATCAGTGGATATGCACTGTCACCCAGTATATAATTGTCTTCACATTCCTGAATTGCGCGTGCAAAGAAGGGGCTCTCCCTCAGGACACGGGCGTCGTGAACCGAACCTGGAAACCCAATAAACACGTTCAGCAACTTGTTCCTGTCGTCGCAGATTCCTTGCAGGATTATCGAAGGCCACTTTTTCCGGTTGAAGTAAGACTGCGTAGATTCGCTTGGAGTGAGTATCCCGATGTGTGATCCATCGATACAGCCGATGGTGTTTCTTGGGCCCTTGCCTTTACTTTTGGCGAGGAAGCCGTTCTTTATGCGGGTCACTTCCACGCTACTAGGCCAGCAAATTATCTCATCGCTAATAGCGTGTAAGAAGTGAACGACCCGTGTCACACAAACATGAACAGACGACTCGGTAACATCGAATTTGTCGCCTATGGCGTACATAGATATTTGTGAGCCTAGGTACACAAGCGCTATGAGGCATGTTTTTTCGGCACTGATTTGTTGGCGGCCTTGCACTGCCCTTGGGTAGAAGGCTGAAGTCTTGAACTTGGCCCTGAAACTATCAAAAGTCTCCCTGGACAGCCTGAAGAGGCGCTTGAATTCATACTCATGGTACCTGCCGATAATGCTTTCGTACCCGGGTACACGGTTGGCATCGTCGCGCACCAACGCGCACGCGACCAAGATGCACGCATCGTCGTACTCATCGTCGCAGTCACTGCAAACGGCACCGCTGACGGAATCGTCGTCGCTGCTCGAGTCCAGCAATTCCATCGCAGTCACAAGAAGTGCCATCACGGCCGTGTATTGATCGGACAAGGCGGCGGAGGCGGCTATTTTAGGCTTACACTACAAGGTGTTCTCCGGCCTGCACTCACGTCAACTCACGCCTTCGTTTTGGCTGTAGCCGTCGCGCGCTAGTGTCGGCTAGTGCCGAGGCGTGGTTGAGGCTGCACCTGCACTTGCTCGACCGGCGCTGCACGCTCACTGCACCGCTTGGCACCGCTTTTTCTGCACCTGCACTTTTCTGAACTAGTGCAAGCCAAATCGAAGATTCCTCTACTGTGTCCGCCTTGTGTCGCCTACACTTTCTCCAAAGGTAGGCTGCATCGTTTCCCGTGACCTAGCAACATCGGTACATGCAGAAATGGGAGACGCAAAGCGCGCGCACGTGTTTGATTGCAGGCTGTAAGTGAATTTGTGGTTTCGTACGCGTCTGCCCAGCCAGACTGTATGCCCAGTGAGTAGTTGTGCTGTTCTATATGTAAATTCCGTGAAGAGAATGCAGTTAGACCGTTGCGCAAGTGGCGAGGAGCGCTGCAACGCGTAAGTGCCGCCAATGCGACGCGGCGCCAACACAATGTGCTTTGACGTATCTAATAACGATTGATATGACCATTTCACTAAAAGTAGACGTTGTGCGCTTGTTCTTATGAAGCTTTTTGTTTGCCGGTCGTCTAAATTATGTGCCGAGCTTTTGTCGCATGACTGCCGTTGTTGACATCGTTTCTATGACCGCTATGAACGGAAGGTTTGTTCGGGTGCTCGGTTTGTGTGCTGTGCAGTTGTAGTTCATCCGCAATTGCTAAGTTGCCGCACCGCTTTTATCCCATCCTTGTCGCCACTGTAACGAACACGCCAGGGCCGTGGCTGGGCCAAGACAAAAGCTTTATTGCGATAGCGCGGGTTAATGTAGCGTTGTGCGAGAGGGGTTAAGGGGAAGGGAAGGAGAAGAAGCAGTGGTGATAACGGCGGCTTCGGCTGGCGTGACGTCACGGATACATCAATCATCAGCAATTTTTTTTTTCTGTTAGGTTGAATCATTGATTTTACTTTTTCTCAAAGCAAAAGTGCAAGATTCGACTATTGGGGTTAATGCCTAAGACGGGGCTCCAACATACCACAATCCTCTGAACAGAATAAGCTTAGTAAAGGCAAGGACTAACGCCCTGCCGCGGTGGTCTAGTAGCTAAGGTACTCAGCTGCTGACCCGCAAGTCGCGGGTTCGAATCCCGGCTGTGGAGGCTGCATTTCCGATGCAGGCGGAAATGTGGTAGCCCCGTGTGCCCAGATTTGGTTGCACGTTAAAGAACCCCAGGTGGTCAAAACTTCCCGAGCCCTCCACTACGGCATCTCTCATAATCATATGGTGGCTTTGGGACGTTAAACCCCACATATCAATCAATCAAGGCAAGGACTAGCCTTTGAACAGTTGTTTATAAGATGGGGGATACCACCTGCTGCAAATGCATGTCTTAATGACAGTCAAACCCCACCCAAGTCTTCACCAGCCAATGCCATCTTCACGATTCTAGTGTCCAACGTAACAAGGCATAACTAACAGCGTTTTCTGTTCTGAAACATGCATATTGATAGAATGAACTTTTTCTTGAAAGCTACCACGATGCATGAAGAGGCTCCATCTGTTTGGCTGATATGTCGTCACTGGTCATGTGACTATAGCCAGCTAGCAATCGGGGTACGTCACAGCGCGACGTCACCAGCGCATGTGCAAAGGGGTGGTTGGCTTAACATTCCTGTTGGTGCCTGAGCACGGTATAGTCGCGCGTTGCCCGAGACAATTTTTTTCTTTAATGCATGTGGTAGGTGCCAGAGAACATCTAGGTGTATGTGGTAAACTGTGTGACAATATACTTGCCCCGCTGGCTGACTGTTCATCTTAAAGAAGTAAACCTATGTGGCGGCCTGTGCAACGAACAGCAACGTAGTTTTTGAAATGTGCAGTGTTTATTGTGGCCTGTAGTGTGCGTTGAAAGGCATTGACAATATTGGTTTATCATTAGGGATGGTGAATTAGAATATTGTGTGTGGTGTGTACTGTGCGAATGAGGATGCGTCTTGTTTGCGATAACGTTGCCACTTGTTGTGGGCAGGTGGCAGTATCCGGTCGTGAAGGAAATTTCACTACTCAATATTTTAGTCAGTGTGAAAGTGCATTTGACATGATTATCTGCAGCTGGGTACATCTCAGCGTTTGCGCCGCTTGCAGGAAAAAAAAAAGAATGTATGATCTGTGGGCTGATTGATACGATTACACATGAGCAATTAGCATGTTTTAACTTTGCCGAAGCTGCATATATGCTGTGCCACGGCGAATACGCTAACCCAATATATGTAAACTCCGATCATCTAAGACCTCATACGTTTAATAGAAACAGCAGCTCATGTGCTTGGTACCTTTAGGCTTGATCTTTATGTAATGAGAATGCCCATTAAAAACTTTGTAAGGTTCAAAAAAGCAAATTAAGTACGCAAACACATTGTAGGCATCAGATCCAACATGATAACTGCATTGTAGATTATCTGTCATCTATATAATTGAGTTATCTCATTTAAAATTACAGAAGTGGCTTATGAGGCATGTCATATAGAGGAGAATTTTGCTGTAATTTTCACGGGGTTTCGTTACCTCAGTCTAATGCACAAGAAATATTTCGCAGTGAGTGCGTATTTTACCCGTGACCTCGTGCACAGCAGCTCAAAACCATACTGCCGCTAATGTTGTACCTTGTTCAAAACTGCAGTGCACATGTCACGATGGAACTTGAGTACGTTCGCTTCCAATGAGAACAAGATTTTTTTTTTTATGGCTACCATCTACAACGAGCGAATTGCCACATGTTAACTGAACAGTATCATGCATCATAGGCAGTGACCCTCCTTTTTAAAGGCTGGCACTTTAGAAAAAAAAAATAACAGAAATTTCTGTCGAAGGGATGTCGACAAACGCAGCACTGCTATGCAAAACGATCCTGCCGGCAGAACTTCTTGCCAAGCAGTACCTGTTCTGAGGGAGAGAATGGTGGGTGGAGTGTTTGCAGTGACGTCACACTGCTTGCCAGCAGGGAGACGTCTATTTTAGATCTATTCTACCAGGTGCGAGCACGTGAACCTTTACTCCTTAGTTCTCATACTATCCGACTCGTGTCAGCCAGCAGGTCTGTTTTTTGTCAATTAGCCGGTACTAGCAGTTATGAGCTTGGCTATGTGTGCACTAAAACATAAAAAAAAATTTGTCTGATCACATGCGTGTTAACACCAGGTGATCAAAGTTTGGAGTCCGCCCTGGTGGTTTAGCAGTTACAGCGCTCACCTGCTGATCTGTAGGTTCTGGGTTCAATCCTGGCTGATGTGGTCACTTTCTCTACGGAGGCAGAATGCTAAGAGGGCTGTTTTTTTTTTGTGATGTTAGTACACATTAAAGGAGCACTGACATCCAATTTCAAGATCGAGATGTGCCCATCATTCGATCGCTTGGTATGCATAGGTCTTATTAACCAAATTTGAACGGCATCCGTCGCATGGAAGTTAGTTTAATTCGATGTCAAACAGCGTAGAAAAGCTCAGGAGAAAAAACGAAAAATAGACTGCCCTGCGACATCAACACTAGGGCTACGTGTTCGGTGTGATACATTCGGCAAATACTATTTTGAGTGACGATGCCCTAGTAGCGATGACGTGTATGATCCGAGTGTTCTTATCGTGGCGCCGAAGTGCAGAAGCGCACTCGCTTGTCGCGTCTGATCTTCGTCGCATCGGTTTTAACGATTTCATGAAATTGTCAAGATAAAAAGTACTTCTAAAAGAATGGTGAAAGAAATGAGCATGCTTGTGCTTGCCGATCAGCATGTCGGGGAATCGTTGTGAGTTGCAGGTGAGTTTCAGTCGTCTAGTTCGAAGCACGGGAAAAGCGCAATGAGGGTGTCTTTTCATATCATGTATGTGTTACACATCAACATGACCACAAGCTATCAAAAGTGGAAGAGCGTGTAGGCAGATATCATTGCTAAGAAGTAACACGCAGGTATCGTTGAACTTTAGTTCATCCGTAGACTTTGCGTCCACGTAAAAGCAGTAATACCATGTTAACTGCGAGAGGCGGGATAGGTGGGGCCATCTGGAGGCGTGAAAAAGAAACCTGACAAGCAGGAAAGATATTCTATTTCTCTGCTAATGCTCATTCGCGATAGCTATATTGCACTGACCCCTCTGCGCATAGCTGAATGCTTTGCGCGCCAAAACACACCAAAATAGCTGAGACACATGAGCGAACATGGCTGAAGCATGCATCCTCGGGCATCTGTACAGTGCTGCTTGGAGCGGCGTTCATTTCGAAATAACTGTTCTGCAAAAGGTCGACCCAAGCAACAATAACTCGCGACGTCGTGAATTGCGGGGATTCCATGCTCCAGACTATTTTATTGAACCCGAGTCGACATTTTGTACGGCGACGAGAGCAATGCAGGTGACAAGGCATGACGTAATGTGTCCGCCTAGCAGACGAAATGTTTGTGGAGCAGCTGAGCCTGAGTCACTTTTTTCTGTGAAGAAGTGGTCAGCAGTGGCGTGATCTGGAGATGACCGCGAGGTGGTAGCGGCACTGCTAGTGCTCCCAGTGCTAAAAATGGCGGCATTGCCAGCCGTTTTTGAATAGCGCTAGATCCCAATAATATAAATCAATAAAAAGATAGTTATTGATCTCTCAGTTGCGTATTAGGTCGCAAATCGTTGCTACAGGGTCTATAGCTACTCGCAGACGCAAAAATCTTGGCATGAGTAAATTTCATGTTAGTGCTCCTTTAAGGAACATCAGATAGTTGAATTTTCTGGAGCCCTTTACTATAGCTTCATAATCATACTGTGGTTTTGGCACGTAAAACCCCAGGTATAATTGTTGAAGCTAGCCTTTGATACCCATACAAACGCCTGTGATCATATTGTCACGTTACAACGTAACTGTAAGCTGCAGATAATGGCACACAAGGACGTCAAACTGATTCGAACAATGGCAGTATCACTATTGTTTTTCTCTGCACGCGCATCTTTGTCCTCTTCTGAACAGCGGCACGTACAAGCAGGCCAGCATCTGTGTAAATAATACTTGTAGAACTTGTACTAGTGGCATTACCCCCCTTCCCAAAGGACATCGTCCCGATGTCATAACATAATTGCCAGATGAAAAGAAATACGATAAGCAGTACACAAGGGGGTGTTCACAATTACTGTAAGTCTACTCAAGGGGGTGTGACGAATAGTCAGGGTTGGTAAAATGGTTTCTTCCTCGAAACATGGACAACGTGTCGATGTTATGAACGGCGGGATTGACGAGCCATGTCCTCGTCAAGAACCTCGTAGTTCACTTCGCTGAGACGACGGAGAACTCTATAGGGACCTAAATAGCGGCGTAACAACTTTTCCGACCGGCCCCGTTGTCGAATA